AAATTTAGAAAGGTAGCAGTTCGTAAAAACATTCTAGCATAATTGCCAGTCTAATATGTATAGAAAAACTCTTATAGAAATTCATGAATACGGAATTATCACAATTTATGGATGTCAATTCGCAAATAAACATTTCACAGATAATGCTATAATCAGTTGCAAAAATATCAGTTTTCAAATAATAAGGCAGTCATTTACACATTAAATTTACAATGTCGAAATATTCAAAAACAGTAGAAAGAAATCTCATAATTTTACTAAAAGCATAAATGTCACATTTATTTCTAATAATTTTACAGTATCTAAAATTTTCTAACAATAGACAAGAAAAATAAATAAATTTATTTTTCTAAGAATTTATAGCATTTAAAATTTCTAACATAGACAAAATATCACAAGTTTATTAAAAAAGATTATTTTTCAAAATAATGAGGTCACTTACGCATAAAATTTATCGCGCCTAAAATTCATGGTAATAAACAGAAATAATTATTCATTTTATTTTCATTTTTTTTAAAAAAAAAACGGATTATTTTTCAAGATAATGAAGTCACTTACCTAAAATATTTGAGAGGGAGCTTCCGATAAAAATTTGGCTTGAGAGAAAAAGAGCTCACTGTGTTTCGACTAGAAAGAGAGAGATCTCAAAATTTCTAGGATGAGAGTCCTCACTTCTCCTATTTAAATTCTTACAATATCTTATTATAATCTTTTATTAAGTTACACCTCACACATGAGGTGTATAAGTTAAATTACATCTTAAACGCTTAAAGCCCACGTCCACTAAAGGACGTGGCAAGAGCAAAAGCTTAGACCAGGTAAAAGCTTTTGAAAGTAGTGATGGTCCTTAAGAACCATCATGCTCATAGGGACTATCACTTATTAAAAGTTTTCTTTTTTTTTTTTGAAATTTTAGGATTATTACAGGTTACCATATTCATGTTTCAATTTGTCCAAAAAAACAAGATATTGGGGGTTGATTTTGGCCTCAAAATTTGCTGCTCAAGAACCTGTGTTCGATCCAAAAAGCAAATTTTGGATCAATTTACTGGTCTTTTTTATCAAATTGATTTATGGATTTTGATCACCAAGGCTTCATCTATCATATAAAATAGGTATGTTGATTTATAATTGAGTAAATTTTTTTATATGAATTTATTTCTTACTTAACGTCATTAAAATTTCATAGGTCTAAATTTTTTGTGATTTTTAAATTAAGTAACAAATACCAAATATTTTTTTATTAGATTTGGTGTGTTTGAAAGATGATGAAGCCTTTACAAAGCTTTTGTATTGATTTGTTCGATTTTCCGAACATTGAGGGTCGTTTTTGCTGGAAATGTTGCTCGATTTTAGAGCTTTTTGAGAAATCGATTTTTTTTTTAAAAAAAATTATTTTTACTTAATAGTATTAAGTGAATAAAATTATTTTTATGATGAATATGAGAAGCTTTTTTTTCTATTTTGCTTACTAAAATTATTATTTTTTGATAAAATTATGTTTTTATGATAAAATATGTTTTTTGATGAATATGACAAAAAAACCGATTCTTCTTTTTTAAATGTTATATTGTTTTTCTAACAAACAAAAAAATAAGTACTTGATATTGCCGGTCTTACTTTTGCTTCATTTTTTTGTTCAATTTTTTTTTTTTTTTTTTTAAGTGCATGGTATAGTTATATTTGTAATAATGGAAATGGGATTGTAATTGTAATCGTTGTAATAACGGAATTGGGATTTTAATTGTGTAATGAAAATGGGATAATAATTGTGTTGGCATAGGCATTCACAATTTCAAACTTTTTTATTATAAAAAAAATTTGATTTTGCTTTTAAATAACTGTCCAGAATTCTGATATTTACTTAAGATTAATAATGCTTAGTTCCTAGTTACCATTTTCTTATTTTGTCGTAAGGACCGCTGATATAGCAGTTTACTTTGTTGCTCAATTGATGAATATAATCATGATCTGTTAATATGATTACTTCAAAACTTTTGTTGGAATAGAGAAACAAAGAAAATACATTGGAAAAACATAAGAGTCCTGGCCGGTTCCGGTTTTGGTGATCAACTAGTTTTTTAAACTGTAAATATAGTACTTCAAATTTATATCAAATACATTATAATGGTGTATTTCTTAGTTTTGACAGTTATTTTTTACTTGAATCAGGGTTCGAATCCCGCCGCCAACGTTCCTTTTTAATGAAATCCTTGACCCATTGCGTTTTTTTTTTTTAATGAAATCCTTTACCCACTAACCAATATGTCATTTACTATTTAGTCGATAAAAATAAGGGCTTATATTGTATATAACATCATTTTTTTTAAAAAAAAAGATCATTTTCTTTTTATACTACTATACCCACTAACCAATATGACATTTACTACTTAGTTGATAAAATATGGGCCTATATTATACATATAAGATAATTTTTTCTTTATTTTTTTTTAAAAAGATCATTTTTTTCTAAAAAAAGAGTTGGTCAATTCGATTTTCTAACACTATTTTTATATTCTTTACATTATGGTAAAGATTAAAAAAAAACATTTGGTCATTGATACTCACTTTTATATTTTCTTATCTTTTTCTAGAAAATTTTAAAAATACCCTAAGCACAAATTGACTCGTTAAAATCCATTTTTTCATTAATTTTCAATTTCATTTGAGTATATTTTGTTTTAATCACATTCTTTATATGTTTTCATACTTTAGTAGATTTTTTTTGTGTCTTTTTCATTTTTTTAACACTTTTTTTTATCGTTCGAGATTTGCCCCGTTAGAGCGGCTGAATTGGCCGGTTTACCGATTAGGCTAGTTATATCGCTACCATGCCCATATCCGATTAACCATTCCGGTGCGATTTTACAAACACTGCTTATCACTCTCATTACTACTAACCATTGTTAGTTGGACTTTGTAACTCCATCAATTAAATTAATGTCAAATTATAAATTGTCTTGCATATCTCCATAGTATTCATATATTAATTTATGTAAAAAGTTAGTTTCAAAATTTTATTTGTAAGATAAATGTAGGTAATAAGGTAATATACACTCAATCTAAGTTTTTCTTTTTCTTTTTTAATTTTTTTTGGGGTTTTTGACCCTTTTTTTTTTTATCCACGGGACCGGTTAGTCCGTTTAACCGCTTGGTTAGTCTGGTTCCGGTTGTAACCACTCGTAGCCGTATGTTCTGTTGACCGTCCCAGTTCGATTTTGCGAACATTGCTTGAAGGTGTCCCAAAGTTGAAGGTTTGAAGTAGGTGCACTTTGGGAAAAATAAACAAAGGGGTATGATTAACTGTAGGAAGATACGAGCCCAACGACCCAGATTGAATCTGAGTCGATCTGACGATCATGATCTCATTTCATGTATGAATTTTAATTTTTTTTTCTACATGTCCAAATCACTTGAAATTTTGAGCGTGTGTTCTTCTCATCAAGACGCACCTAATAAAAATATTCAAAAAATAATTTGCACAAACAATATTGACCAAAATCCCCCCAAAACATTTCAGGGGTATTTTGATCAATTTAGTTCATGTAAAATATTTTTTTGATATTTTTATTAGATTATCCTATTTTTGAAGAACACACGCCTAAAATTTCAAGTGATTTGAATTTGAAAAAAATAAAATAAAATTCAAATACGAAATAAGGTTGTGACCGTCAGATCGACTCAGATTCAATCTGGGCCATTGGGATCATAT